CATAGAGATACACAAAAGGCTAGTATTTCAGAATAAAGAAATATGTGAAGAAAGACAGAGTCCTACAAATGTGTGATGATTTGGGAGAAGCAGCATAGTCACATTTGAATTGAATTTGGAATAACTGGTAGAACTGAAGTAGAGATTATGCTACATATTTTATTTGAGATATTAATGAGTGCTTTGAAGAATTATGACAGTGAAGAATTTGCATATCATCCTATAGGCAATGAACAGAATCAACCTTTCTCACTTAAGATAAGCTAGGTTTTCTAGGAAAATAAAGCCCAACAATATGAAAATTTCAGAGATCAGATAAAAGGAAACTGCAATGTCCCAGAAGAGAATATAAGGCTTAAGAAGTGCAATAGATATAAAAACAAAATTACTTCAAGATGCTATGCACATGTAAAACTGGTAAAGTTTTTCAGAGAAAGTTTTTATTGTTCTCTTTTTGATGTTTAATCTTGTACCTCACACTTAGTAAGTAGACAGGAAATACTTGTTAAATACATTCCTGATTGTAAAAAACAACTCAGTTGAGAGTACATACTGGTGGTTTTATATTCAATTATAATTTATGGCTATGCAATAAAAAATCTATTATATATATACACTGTTACCTTTTTTTTTTTAAAAAAAAAAACACTCCTTTAGTATCTTTCATTTAAAAGAATCTTAAAATGTCTCCATTGATAAAATTCCTAAGTGTTTTACAAGTCTAAGTATATATAACTGTATACATGCACTTTCTGGAAGTTAGAAGGGCATTCTACTTTTATCTCCTGGATTATATAGGGAACATTGATTACCATTTTATTTTGCTCTTATTTTCTTTTATCTAAAACCATGTAATAGGCCGGGCGCGGTGGCTCAAGCCTGTAATCCCAGCACTTTGGGAGGCCGAGACAGGCGGATCACGAGGTCAGGAGATCGAGACCATCCTGGCTAACACAGTGAAACCCCGTCTCTATTAAAAAATACAAAAAACTAGCTGGGCGAGGTGGCGGGCGCCTGTAGTCCCAGCTGCTCAGGAGGCTGAGGCAGGAGAATGGCCGTAAACCCGGGAGGCGGAGCTTGCAGTGAGCTGAGATCCGGCCACTGCACTCCAGCCTGGGCGACAGAGCTAGACTCCGTCTCAAAAAAAAAACCAAAAACCATGTAATAAATGCATATGTTTAGACTATTGCATTTAAGCAACTAGACAAAAAAGCTAATATAAAAATTATACTTTTTTCACATTATTTATTGTCTTGCCTGACTTGTCAAGAAATCTTAGTCTCCTGATACCCATAAACATTTCAATAAAAACATAATGTCAGAAGCAAGTCTGTTAAAGTGAAGAAATATGAAGAAAGTGTAGTTAGTGGGAACATAATTAGAATAGCTTAGAGCAAACATCTTGATTGCTAAATATTTAGGAATATCAATTAGAACAATTTGAAAGGCACAGATAATTTAAAACTTTACAAATAAACACTGCATTTGGCTGCAGATTACCTGGGTCTTCATGTTCAAAAAAAGAATAAAAGTGCATCTTCATTAATCTGTGGTGTTGTCAACAGAATCTACCAGTAGATTCTGTCATCTGGTTTCTTACATAATCAAGCTGCTGGAAACATCTTTTCTCTGCTATATTATGTAATGGGCATAACATTTCAATGTTGAAGCATCCCTTGTGGTTGGTTTAAGCCAATGTGTAGCTTAAACCTACACAATCTACTGATGTAGGTGACCTGAGACCTCCCAGGTTGATTTTCCGCACTGACTGCCTCTTGCAGTTGTACGCTTGTTCCAGCTGGCCTTTTAGGTGGCAAAAGCAACCCCTTCTTACAACTTTGCTGAGATATAAGACACGTGCACCCATGTCTCCAGGGTCTAGCCTGCTTAGTGTGATAAAGCTGAGGACAGTTGACAAAACTGTTCTATTCATCACGTATAATTTTTAAGAGAGGGGTTCTTTGAAATAGTGAGTTGTAATGTGTATTTGTTATCTAAGACTGCCATAACAAACAGCCACAAACTGGACGGCTTAAACAAACAAACAAACAAAAACTATCTTCTCCCAATTCTGAAGGCCAGAAGTCTGAAACCAAGGTCCTGGCAGGACCCTACTTCCTACTTCTGTAGAGACTCTAGGGGAGAATATATTCCTTGCCTCTTACAGCTTCTGGTGGCTCCAGGGGTTCTTCAGATTGTGGTTGCATTACTGCATACTCACATTGCCTCCTGTTCTCTCTTAAAACTCCCCCTCCCTCTCTCTTATAAGAATACATGTTATTGCATTTGAGACCCACCCAGATAATTCAAGATAAGCTCCTTCTCTCAAAATCCTTAACTTAATTACATATGTTGCCTTGTAAGTTAATATCCACAGTTCCCAGGGATTAGGACATAGACTTACCTTTTTCAGAGGGCACTAGCTAGCTTTCTAAAATATATATGATTTATTTTCAACTTAAGCCATCCTTTTACTCTCTCTGTATTCACTTTTTTTCTCATTTAAAAATTATTTTCAGATATTTTCTTTCATTGAATCATTAATTCTTTTGTTCATCCTTCATCTATTTAATCACTCTAGAGTTACTGGTTTTCTTTTCTAGATCAAGCAATGTGATGGGACATAATGGGGTATAACATAGAATGATATTCAGTCATGCCATGAAAAAATAAGCCCAGATATTTTGAAGTATTGAAGAATATGTTTTTCCAGAGTTAAATATTGAGACATTTTGAATCTTTGATAAACTGAAATGCATACTCCAGTTAATTCCTGTGCTGTAATATTATAGAACTATTAAAATGGAAATATTTATGTCTACATATTAATATATAAGTAATATAGGTAATACTTGGAATTTCAAATTTACAAATGGGCTTATTCTAATAAATCAATATGCTACATTAACCTTTAGAACTTGTAAAACATAGCCCATCGTAGAAGATGAAAAATGGCATCTGGGTTTCTACTAAAGCTCATGAAGCTCACTTAAACCACATAAAACTGCTGTGACTTCACCATTAAAATATGAATACATAAAACGTATACAAATGCAAAGTATTTTTTAGTATTATAGTTAATTATCTTTAACATAGATAGTATACTACAAGCTAGGCTCATCACAGTTTCCAAAATACCTTGGCTTACTTTCTTCTTTTTCCTAGCAGGAAAATATTCTCACACCTCTTCTGACATCTAAGTGAACACAACTCTATTCTTTTAGCCCCTTACTTTAACATACATCATAAACATAGAATTTTAAAAGAAGAACGAAAAGAGGAATAATCTTTTAAGATTTCCTGTGAGTTAATACAGGTATAGATGTCATTGCCTTTTAGTTTGATTCTATACATTTTGGTGTATAGTTAGATCAAGTCTACTTTGGCATGACTATACAAAATTCATGGTAAGTGGAAGAGTAAAATAATTGTAAAAAATAAAATTTAAAATGTTTTTAGTTAATTTGAGTCTCAGAAGTAAACAGCATTATCTTGAAAGATTTGTTTTGTGCATTAAAAATATATGGATCTTTGTATACTTCTATTCCATGGCTCTCTTATGTTAGATTCAAAATTTTGAGTTATGAGAAATTCATAAGGAATACTAATCCTGATATGCTTTAGTAGATGAACTAATTGGTGTTTCAAAGTTTCATCCAGACATCTGATATGCTTTCCTAGATTAGACTAGCTAATATTACATTTCAGAAAGCAAAAATGGCTAAAGGCAGTTCATAATTAGAAAGTTCCCTCACAAGTTAGAAATTATCACTTATAATTTATGCTATTAATAAGTTTTAAGTCTGGAACATTTTAATCACTTTTATGACTTCTTTTTAGATAATACACAATGTCTAGTTTCTTTTTTTACTACTATGAACATTTCAACTATTACAACTACCTACCTATGACAAAAAAAAAATGAGGAGTATTTTCTTTTAATGCATTCCTAATTTGTCACTCAAAAATAATGTGCAGTATATAGATTATAAAAACAATGTAAATAATTACATCAGTCATAATACAGATGGAATGTTTAAAAGACAATGACATCAAAAGTCAATACTTCTCCCTAATTTACTATCTGTCAGATACAACTCTACTGCTTTTTCTTGAAATATTTGTAAACATATGGCCAGGCAAAGACAAAATTGAAAGTTATCAAATATTGAGAGGTAGTAAATAAATACATACATGAATAAGTAAATAAAAGAAAAAAATTCTGGTAATAAGAAAACCAGAGCAATTATCTATTCACATGAGATTTGAAAAGAAAAAAAAAATTTGCAAATTGATCTAATTAAAGCCAGCCAACACCACAGTATGTCTCATTATTACTGAAATACTCTAAATAACTGATATGGTTTAGCTCCGTGTCCCCACCTAAATCTCATGTGGCATTGCAATCCCCACATGTCAGGTGAGGGCCCTGGTGGGAGGTGATTGGATCATGGGGGTGGATTTCCCCCTTGCTGTTCTCGTGATGGTGAGTGAGTTCCCATGAGATCCTATAGTTTAAAAGTGTGTGACACTTCCCCCTTCACTCTCTCTCTCTCTTTCCTGCCACCATGCGAAGTAGGTCCTTGCTTCGCCTTTGCCTTCTGCCATGATTGTAAGTTTCCTGAGGCTTCCAAGTCATGCTTCCTGTTCAGCTGGCAGGACTGTGAGTCAGTTAAACCTCTTTTCTCCATAAATTACCCAGTCTCAGGTAGTTCTTTATAGCAGTGTGAGAATCGACTAATACAATAACCTACCTTCTCTTCACTAACTCTACTAGAATTCAGATAAACTTCTATGTAATTTTGTAGGCCCATGCACTCTTTATACTATTAAAATAAATTTGACTTAAAAATAAATGTGTAGAAGCTCTAACTTGAGTAGTCAAGCTGTTCTATGCTCCATTGATTTACAAAGTGTTTTCATTCTTATATTGGCATAGCTCTAAACTCTCTTGGTCTAAAAACACAAAACATATAAAAAGAAAATATCTGGAATCCTACCTGTTACAAGAAAGCTGCATCTCCCAGCTCCAGCTTCATTTATGATGCTACAGTTATAAACTCCATAGTTTTCATTGGAAAGACTCTTCACAGGGTACTCTGTGTATTCCTGAGAGTCAAATTGACCCGTCCGTAATAATTTATTGCCCAAGCGCCACTCGTAGGTCAGCACCCGTATTGGATAGGCTCTCAGTACTCTGCAGCTCATAGTGACACTTCGATCCTGTCCTTGCCGGATTTCCAAGAATGCTGGTTCCACTGCAGGGGGATCTGTAGAAAAGATATGTAAAAACAGATGAAAGATGTGACTTGCAATAAGCCAAAAGCTACTCTTATTAGAAGAAGCCATTTTTAATAACACATGCAGCAATAGAGGAGGAGTGTGAGAAGTGAATGAAGAACACATTTAAGCCCAGAAATTTTAGCTTGGGTTGGGAAATGTGATTTCCTGAGGGTAGGAAGTGAGTCTCCTTGCTTTACAAATGCATTTGCAGGTGAAACTACTAGAGCTGACTGATACTTCTTACCTCTTTCAGCAAATATTTTTAAACTTACCTATTAATTCTAATATTATCAATATTCTCCTCTTTTCTTTTTTGTTTGGGGCCCTTTGTTTAAAAGTGGTAAGAATTCCTTTTTTAATGTAAAATGAAAAGATTCCTCCCTTCATTCACTTCATGGTCTGATACCGAAGGCAGCTATTTAAAAAGCTAATTTACAAAACTGTATGAAAAATTATTCTACAGTGCTAAGTAAATAAGAATTGAATGACAGTATGAGAGTTGACCAGGCAAATATGTTACAAAAATGATACTCAGTTGTGTCTTCAAGAATATACAGGGAATGGTCAGGTGAGTAAGCAGTAAGAGAAAGTATTCCAGGTAGAGAGATGTGTATATTCAAAGGTACAAAATCTGAAGAGGAAGGGATGTTCAGAGAAATGCAGATGGATTAGCATAGCTGATGCACAAAAGAAGACCATAAGCGCTTGGGGGGAAATAAAGATGAAAAGAAAGAGACTCTATTCAAGGAATGCATTTTCTTGGTATTGAGGAGATCTTCTAAAATTTTTAAATAAAGGATTTATATGATCAAATTAATTTTTTTTTTTTTTTTTTTTTTTTAGGAAAAATATTGTGGTAGATAGGAAAAGCAGAAACCACAGAGGGAAGAGACGAGTTGCAAAAAAAATTAAATCACTGGTGAAAGTCTGAACCAAGGTGAGGTCAGTGGGACCAAAAATGATGCCTTAGGCAATGAAGGGGATAATAGCGCCAGTCATGAAGACAGCGAGGAAAAGGAGAGGTAGATCGATGTATGTTTAATGTGTCAATTTTATGCATCTGTCAATCACACATCCTGAAGCAGTGTTTCTTCATTTTCAAATATATGCGTAACATTTTATTTTCTCTTTGCTTTTGATTTTTTGCTTAACTGAACTGTAGTCAGATAAAATAGTCCACGTTTTCAATCCTCTGAATTTGTTAACACTTGCTGTATGACACAATATACAAAAGATTTCTGTTCTTGGTGTGCTCGCTAAGAAGGAATAGTCTGAACTTTTGAAGTGTGATATGTATCTATTGGGCCGAGTCTAATATCGAGGAGTTGTCCAAATCATCCATATAGTTGTTTACTCATTTATTTTTTGCCTACTTATTCCAGTTGAATTAATTCAGAAGAGTATGTTAAACTCCTCTAAAAAAAGTTACAAGTTTTAGATACCTAATTTAAAAATTCTCCTTGTAGTTCTGCCTCCGTTTTGCTTGGCCTGTTTTGAGGCTATGCTATTAGGTAGATATGAATTTAGAACTGGTTTATGTTGTCCATGAGTTGAATATTGAATATTTTATCACTATAGTCTCTTTTGTCTCCAGCAATGCGATATCTATATATATATATATGTGTGTGTGTGTGTGTATATATATATACACATATATAGTCTAACATTATTATAGTTACATTGGCATTTATTTTGTTAGTATTTGCATGTGATATTTTTCCATCCTTTTAATCTTATACTTTCAATATCTTTATAAGTATTCTTATTCTTATACTTTCAGTATCTTTAAATTTTACAAGCATCTCTTTTAAACATCATGAGCTTATCTTTTATTTTTTAGGATATTTTTAAAGTCTGTCAATCGTTTTTTAACCCAGAGCACTTATTAGCACTTTATTCATTGACATTTACTGTAACTACTTACTTTGTACTTTTATTTTATTGCATTTTTGTATTAAATTTACTGTAATTTATTATTGTGTACTGTTTGTTTTCTGCTACTTTTTATTGCCTTCTTTTAGATGGATGGATTACATTATCATTCTGATCTTTTTGCTGCTACTACTTGAAGATTTATTTACTCTGTTTCTATTATTCCGATTATCTCAAAGCTTGCAACATGCATACTTAAGTTATCCAAAAACATCAATCAATACCCTTATTATACTACTGAAGAAAACAATAATCTAAGGATAATTTATTCCTTTTATTCTCATTCTAACATGTGTTAGTGAGTCATGAATTTCAATTCTCTTTTTTTTAAATAAAAAGTCTATTGTACATAGTCGGGCGTGGTGGCTCACGCCTGTGAGCCTCCCAGCACTTTGGGAGGCTGAGGAGGGCGGATCATGAGATCAGGACTTTGAGACCAGCCTGGCCAACATAGTGAAATTCCGTCTTTACTAAAAATAAAAAAATTAGCCGGGCATGTGGCGTGTGGCTGTAGCCCCAGCTACTCAGGAGGCTGAGGCAGTCGAATCGCTTGAACCCAGGAAGCAGAGGTTGTGGTGAGCTGAGATTGCGCCACTGCACTCCAGCCTGGGAAACAGAGCTAGACTCTGTCTCAAAAAAAAAAAAAAATATATTGTACATTATAGTATAATATTGTATACCTATAGTATTTTTAAAAACGTCCAGATATTTGCTAGCTTATTTGCCCTTCATTCCTTCTTTCATTGTAGACTTTCCATCTGTGACCACTTTCCTTGTGTCTGAAGTTATCATTTAGATCTATCATATCTTTAGTGAACTCTTCGATCATGATTTTCTAAAAAATATATTTTAGTTTGTGGGGCTGGGAAACCAAGAGCTCTTAATGCTATGCCCAAAGACTGAAGTTCTCTATAGGAAACCATACACATGCAATAGTGTTATGTTTTCCTGAGGAAATCCAAGACTTAGCCACTCATAAGCATGCAATAATCCATGACTAGTGATGTGGAAAAGTAAACAAAGGTCCCAAAGTGTATGTATATATGTATTTATGTGTGTGTGTGTATACATGTATATGTTATATACATACACACATATACATACATATATGTATATATACATATATGTGTACATGAAATATAATTTTCATTTTTCATATGTATATGTGTATATGCACCTATACGCATATGTAGAATTTGTGTGTACATATACATATATAGAATTATACATATTATGTATAACATACATATATGTACAATAAGTTAAAATACATATATATTTTAATATTTTATATATACATATAAATATGTTTTATATATACATACATGTATGTGTATATATATTTAATGTTTTATATATACATATATGTGTATGCATATATATACACACACACATATTAAACATTAAAAGGTATTTTCTTTGTAGGTTGTCAGGCTTTGTTCTTTCAGTGCACCATTATATAATTCCACTGTCTTCAGATGGCCCTTGTTGGTGTAAAGAGGTCAACTCAAAGTCTTACACTTTGACATGAATGTCTTTTTTTTCCTCCAGCCACTTTCAAAATATCTGTGTCATTGCTGTTCTGCAGTTTCAATATACGGTTCCTAGGGATGGGTTTCTTTTTCACTTACAGGTTTGAAATTTGTTGGGCTTCTTAAATCTGTTAAGTTTGGTGTCTTTTATCTGAAGTAATTTTGGAAAATTCTCATCATTAGTTGTTTAAATAACACCTCTATTTCCTTCTTTATATCCTCGTTAGATGATCCTGTTTTAAAAACGTCCAGATATTTGCTAGCTTATTTGCCCTTCATTCCTTCTTTCATTGTAGACTTTCCATCTGTGACCACTTTCCTTGTGTCTGAAGTTATCATTTAGATCTATCATATCTTTAGTGAACTCTTCGATCATGATTTTCTAAAAAATATATTTTAGTTTGTGGGGCTGGGAAACCAAGAGCTCTTAATGCTATGCCCAAAGACTGAAGTTCTCTATAGGAAACCATACACATGCAATAGTGTTATGTTTTCCTGAGGAAATCCAAGACTTAGCCACTCATAAGCATGCAATAATCCATGACTAGTGATGTGGAGAAGTAAACAAAGGTCCCAAAGTGTATGTATATATGTATTTATGTGTGTGTGTGTATACATGTATATGTTATATACATACACACATATACATACATATATGTATATATACATATATGTGTACATGAAATATAATTTTCATTTTTCATATGTATATGTGTATATGCACCTATACGCATATGTAGAATTTGTGTGTACATATACATATATAGAATTATACATATTATGTATAACATACATATATGTACAATAAGTTAAAATACATATATATTTTAATATTTTATATATACATATAAATATGTTTTATATATACATACATGTATGTGTATATATATTTAATGTTTTATATATACATATATGTGTATGCATATATATACACACACACATATTAAACATTAAAAGGTATTTTCTTTGTAGGTTGTCAGGCTTTGTTCTTTCAGTGCACCATTATATAATTCCACTGTCTTCAGATGGCCCTTGTTGGTGTAAAGAGGTCAACTCAAAGTCTTACACTTTGACATGAATGTCTTTTTTTTCCTCCAGCCACTTTCAAAATATCTGTGTCATTGCTGTTCTGCAGTTTCAATATACGGTTCCTAGGGATGGGTTTCTTTTTCACTTACAGGTTTGAAATTTGTTGGGCTTCTTAAATCTGTTAAGTTTGGTGTCTTTTATCTGAAGTAATTTTGGAAAATTCTCATCATTAGTTGTTTAAATAACACCTCTATTTCCTTCTTTATATCCTCGTTAGATGATCCTGTTCATTCTGTTTTTGATGTCTGTTAACCCCTTTTCAAATTTTCCACTTGTTGATTTTTCTGAACTGCATTATGAATAAATTCATCTGAACTAATTCAGTTCATTAATTCTTTCTCCAATCCTACTTAATCTGCAAAATATATATTGTGTTTTTAATTCCAATAATGTATACTTCATTTATTCCTTTTCTGTGTAGTTATTTTGTACAC